ACTAAGTGACACTACCAGACCAAACACCTAATTGAGTTTTACCTCCTATCACAACAGTTAACAACTCTTTAATAAGATGGCTCGAATATGTCGAAGCCTCAATCTAGAAACTTTTCTACAGACTATTGCTTGACAACAAACACCGATCCTCCTCCAGCAAGACACGATTCTCCAAATTTGTCACCCTATCAAGTTGCCCCAAGATTTCCTTTTCAACGAAGTGTCTCGAAATGTCGCGAGCTCGGCTCTAATACAGAAATAGGTCTACCTTGTACCTCCCACCAAAACTTGAATAAAGTACATTTACCTTTCTGTCAATCTCACACTTCTTCAATCTGTTGGATACTACTAGGACTTTCTTCAATGGGGATTTGGTTGCAATCCAAACACGCCTAGAATAGTCACTAACAAAGAAAACCAGACATCTATTTCCTCCCAATGATGCCTCTTTGGAAGGCCCCCGAACATCCACGTGAACACCTCCAGAACGACCCTTAGCACGATGAATAGAGGTGCCAAATTTCACCTCGATCTTCTTGCTCACATCAACATGTTCACTGGATTTCAAACTGCAGGTCTTCACACCCTCTTTCAATCTATACAAGGAATTAATACTGGAATGGCCAAGCCCCAAATGTCGCAGTCTAGTCGAATCAATAGAAGTCGCCACTTTCTCACCTTCCACTATACTTCCAGTCAAGTAATACATGTTATTCCTCCTGACGCCCTTCATCACAATCTTAGAGTCTTCCATAATCTTGAGAACTATATCCTCAATTCGAACATTCAGACCCTCTCCAACCAAAGCTCCAATCGAGATCAAGTTCTTCCTTAAAGAATGAACATATCTCATATCATATAACTCCCTAACAGTCCCGTCAAACATCTTGATGTTAATTCTTCCTATCCCAAGGATCTGGCATGCATAGTTATCAGCCATGTACACCACACCACTATCCAGCTTCTCAAAACTGGAGAACCATTCTCTTCTAGAGCACACATGATAGGTCACACTACTATCCAACATCCACTCGGATTCCTCCAAATAGCAACCTGTAGGACTGATAGAAAGTGAATAAATAGAAGTATTAGAAATATTATCATCCGACATAATGATGTTTGCTTCTGATGATGGTTGCTTCCCTTTTCCCTTCTGCTTATTCTTCATCCATTCGTCGAGCTGATGGTTGCTTCCCTTTTCCCTTCTGCTTATTCTTCATCCATTCGTCGAGCTTTGAGCAGTCTTTCTTCTAATGACCAGTCTCCTTGCACCAAGCACACGTTCTTCATCCATTCGTCGAGCTTTGAGCAGTCTTTCTTCTAATGACCAGTCTCCTTGCACCAAGCACACGGATCTTTTCTAATTGTAGGATGCCTTAGATTGTGATTTCAAATTCTTCCGGTTCGAATTCTTCCCTCTTGCGGCTAACGCCTCTGCTACCGGCTCAACTGAAGTCTCCTTATCCTTCTTTCGAAGCTGATAATTCACAAGTACAGCAGTGACCTCACTATACAAAAGGGACGCCTTCCCATTAATTAGGGTAAGAACAAAGGTCTCATATTCCTCATCAGGTAAGGAACTTAACAATAGCAACGCCTTGTCCTCATCTTCAATCTTGATATCCACATTCACCAAATCCGCAAGAAGGTTTGTGTAGGTGTTTATGTGATCACTAATTGAGGTTTCCTTCTTCAACTGAAAACGATAAAGTCTCCTCTTCAAATGTAAGCGGTTATCAACACTCTTTGTCAGATACTTACTTTCGAGAATCTCTCAAATCTTCTTCGCAGAAGTCTCATTTATCACATCATATTTTAGATCTTGAGTCAAACAAGATCTAATCACACCACACGCCGTTCGATTCATCTTCTTCCAAACCTTCTCTTCAGTCTCATCTGGCTTGCCATCTAACTCCAAGGTATCCTCTAAATTCTGCGTGTTCAGCGCATCCAAAACCTTGTATCTCCATAATCCAAAGTTTTTTGTGCCATTAAATTTCTCCACATCTATCTTCATGGAGTGGATATTCAAACTCTGAATGGTCTTCACGCCAGAAGCACCACCCTCGACACCCGAAGCACCTTCTTTCCCCGACATCTTTCTCAACGCACCAATGAATGAAGAATAGATTCAAGACTGAAAAGATAGAGTCTTTACCAAAAGATCTCATATTTATCACCAAACAAAGCCCTAGACGAGCTTTCAAATCGATCCACTCCTCTAAATAGCCCAAGCGTAGCCCGTGCTCTGATACCACTTGTTGTACGTAGCAGAAATTTTGGCAGAGTTTCTGGTGCACAATAAGAGAGAAAGATCAATAAGAATTCCCGTCTCACCAAGAAAACAAGAATCTGAAGCGAATATCTCAACAAAGTGAGATATCAGTTCTTCCTCTCATCAGTTCTAGGATTGACTTGTCGAGGGACCCTAATAAACTATTATAATGGCCACAAACACAAATCACACAAGTTTTACGTGGTTCGGCAAATTGTCTACGTCCACAGGGCAATGATGGGGGATCTACTATTAGAGAGAAAAAGAATACAAATAGGCTTATAACTCTCACAATTAAACCCTCAAATAGACTCCTTGCTTTTCTTCACAAGAAAAGGTCAGCCTCCAAAGCTTTTTCTCTTCACAAAGCCCTAGAATTCCCTTGCGGCAGTCGCCAAAGCTTCTGCCACAGAACACACTTTTCACTGCAGCCGCAATTAAATCTCCTTGCACTTTTCGGCCCCTGCCTTTGCATGCCTGCACGCCCTTGCTCTCTGCAGCAACGAATCTTTGCACAGCCCGCAACCCTAGGCACAGCCGTAAGAATCCTTTTCCCAGCCCTTGCACTAAAAACCTAGGAACAATTAAAAGAGTTATTTATAGGCTATAGCTTCAGGCTCAAAAACCGGGGTTGGGATCCTCACGGGCTCACAAACCACGTGGCCCCCATACGCTAAAAAACACGTCTGGTGATAGGGTGAGGCCCTATCACCATCCACGTTCACAGTTTGCATTGTTTATATTGCCTATCACAATTATATCTTTAGTTTAGATTGTTTACCCTTATGTTAATTTATATATCCTTGCATATATTTCATCATATACCTCTTTGCTAGGATATATCTCTTTGTTCATATTGTATATTCTTGCTCATATCATATTGTATATCTATCTTGCAATAATAATATTTGAATTAGTTTTAATTAGCATAAAATCAGATTAGATTAGCATAATACCCTAATCACCCCCCTCTAGGGTCTAACAATTGGTATCAGAGCTTGGTGCTCTTTGATTTAAGGTCTAATCGCCTTGAGTTAAAGATCCAAGTTATCTTTTTTTGCTAATCTTATTTTGATTGCATTTGTCTTGCTTGTACTTTTATATAGTTATCATGGTCATGAAGCATGCACTTTTGTTAGGCTATGAATCTAATGTTGCTCCTAAATTCATTAATTTTCCCTATGCACAATGAGCTTCTAGATTTAAACTATTTGTGCAATCTAAAAATATTGATTTATGAGGAGTTATTGATAATGCTTATATGGAGAAATCCAAGTGGAGTAAAAATAACAAAATATTGTTTACCATGAACAAGATTGTGTTAGATTATATGCTTAATGCACTTGATTTCTATAGCTAAATAACTACATAAGACAACACGCTGTCACATTCTTCCATATAATAATATGATACATTTTTTCTAAGGGGTTTTTCTCTTTTAACCCAAAGTTTTACCCCTATTTATTTAAAAATCCATTCATTTTTCCAATTATCAATACACCCAATGTATCTCATCTACTTATTTCTAAACCCAATATGTATAATACACTCATTCTTTATACTGTATTTACCCAATAAACCAAAAAATTTCTAAACTACCCTTCATCCCCAAATACAACCAGTCTCTCTCTCTCTCTCTCTCTCTCTCTCTCATCATTCATAGCAAAAAGAGAAAGCAATGGGAAGGATCTCTCTCTCTCTCTCTCTCTCTCTCTCTCTCTCTCTCTCTCTCTCTCTTCTATTTTACTTTCCCAAATAGAACGATCCCCATAGGGCCCTAAGAGCGATTCTCAAACATCAAAACCCCCAAAACAATCTCAAAATCCTTGAAAATAATTGTCATTAATCTCTCTAGTTCACATAAACGTACCCTCTCACTCTAATTTTGGCACCACACATCTCTCTTGCTCTTATTTTGGCGCAAGACAACACTAAACAGTTCAACTTTCTGGTGAAGGAGAAATGACCACTGTCGCAGATCTGTATACTTGATTGTTTCAGATATGCGTACTTGATTGTTTCATGCTATGTTGATTTTGTAGTGGTGATTTTGGGTAGTGGTGATTTTGGGCATTTTTGTAAAAATATAGCTCTTTATTCCAAAGTATATCTCTTTATTGACAAAGTACAGATCTTTGTGTTCTCTAAAAATTCTAAAACTTAGTGAAATAAATCAAATCGGTTTTTTCTGAGCAATGTAAACGTGTGATGATGTAGACAATGTGTTGTTCGATCGATTATTCATGTCCATCTCTCAATTTTCCAGTTTTTAGAAAAGTATAACTCTTTACACTGAAGTATAACACATTTTTTGTGAAAGTACAGCTATTTATTTCAAAGTATACTCTTTATGATCATAGTATAGCTCTTTATTGACAAATTATAGTTTTTTTGCGTTCTCTGAAGATTTTAAAACTTAGTGAAATAAATCAAATTAGGATTTTGTAAAAGCTTTGTCTCGGATGGAAAATGTTTTTCAAGTATTGGGGGGCGACGCCATTAGTTTTCAAGGGTCGTTATTCCAAAACGAACCAAACGGGTCCTTATAACTGGTCCCTATAAAAGCCCAGTTAAGATACGGGCCGCAGCTCTTTAAAAGAGGTGGGCCGGGTTTCGACCTTACCAAGATATTTCCTCCTCCTCCTCCTCCAGGAACCCAAACATTTCTTCTCTCTCTGCGCGAGCACCAACGTTTCCTCCCTCGTCTCCTTCGCGATCGATCGCCATGGATTCGCTCTCGATTCCTTCAGCGATCCCGTCTCCCTCCATCCTCTCCCCCAAAAGGCCCTTCATCTCTAGGCGCCCTCTCCTTCTCCCGATCTCCTCCAAAAGTACTCACCTTCCCTCTCTCTTTTATTATTTTTATTATTTTTATTCCAATCTCAGACAATCAAAACCCTAATTCCTCTCTGTTGCTTGCAGATAAAGAAAACGAGCCGGATCTCGGTCCCGACTCCGACAACACCGGCCTCGTCCCCTTCTTCAAGAATCCGAGCTCCCTCTCCCCCCTCTCCAACGTACGCACCTCCAGTAACCCTAGTTCTTGTCCTTATTTTGTAGTTACAGGAGCTCGTTTGTATTTTATTGACCGCTTGCTTGTTGTTTAGGATTCGGCGATGGGTTTGGTATTGAGCGCGGCGGTCGGGAGAGGCTGGGGCCGCCCGCGCCTGGACCCGGGTCGGATTCGGGCGATCGGCCCGTGTCGACCTTTCCTTGGTCTCTCTTCACCAAGTCCCCTCGCCGCCGGATGCGCGTGGCTTTCACGTGCAACGTCTGTGGACAGCGCACCACTCGCGCCATCAATCCCCATGCCTACACCGACGGCACCGTCTTCGTTCAGGTATTTCAAAGATCTCAGTCTCTTTTCCTCTCATCAAAATCTAATCTTTTTAGGCTCTGTCTTTGGTTAATTACGCTCTAATTCCAGAAAGATGCGCCATTTCTTTTATAACTTTTATATCTTGATTTTTTTTTGTTGGGTTACCAAAACAATCTTCAAGAATTTAAGGTCTAGCTTCCGTGGACTTAAGGGAGAGGATGGGTAAAGCGAGATAATGGACGCTAAATTTCCATTTGGGCTGTGTTAGAGAGAGTGAAGAAATGTATTTATTATGCTTTTAATTTTGACAAAGCTAGCTGAGGTTAAATAGCTCAAAGAGAAAGAAAGGGATACGAAATGACATGTTTTAAACAACTAGTATGGTGCACGTGTGTTGCACGTGTATTTAATTTTACGTTTAATTTTTGTTATGATACTTTTTGTGTGTGTGAACTATCTTTTGAAATGATCATCATGAGTAATTTCAGAAAACTCAAATACAAAAAAGCATCAATCATTTGATGTTTGCTAAGAATTTTTTTTAGGGATAATAAGTTTAATGGATAATCATGATGCTCATTTAAAGATATATAATCACGTTGCACGTGGACATAAGTATGAAAGTAATTTTTATATAAAAAAAAAGCTTTTATGTGTGTTGCATGTGAATTGGAAGTCTAATACATTAAACTTATTATCGCAAGTAATGTCTATTAGCACATGTTTAAATAAGTATATAATCACATGTTTAAATAATTATATAATCAGCAAAGATTACTACATCCACCATCAAAATCTAAGCTTTTATGTGTGTTGCATGTGAATTGGAAGGCACTGGAAGTCTAATACATTAAACTTATTATCGCAATTAATGTCTATCAGCACATGTTTAAATAAGTAACCTACATACTATTCACTTAACTTATGTATGTAATCAGCAAAGATTACTCCATCCACCATCAAAATTTACCCGAACAACAACAATAATATCTCATTATATCATTTCATTCATTTTTTTCATCTATATTTATTTTACTGGTTAGTTTTTTAATTACTCATTATTCATGAAGGATACGATGGACTAAATATTAAAAATTTCAAACTCAATCAAGTGCAAATTTTTGACTAAATTTAGTTGTCAAAATTCACTTAAAAATAATGAGAAAAAATATTTATTATGGAGAATGTGCTATATATATAGTTTACATGACCCAAATAAATAAGGAAAAATAAAGTTCTATCATATATATTTCAACGTTTTCTTTGTTTAGTATATTAATTTATAACATACCAATCATTAAATATCACACACCATGTTAAAATTTTACAAAATGGATTTTCAAGTAATATATAGTTAGTGGAACGCTTGCAATCTCTTATTAAGAAAATGAGTTAATAATGTAAATGAATTTGTAAGTCAAGTGTTTTTAATCCCATCATTCCTACATTGGGATTTTAGGATACATCAAAAAGGCATTTGACATATATCTACATTGCACACATTCAACCAAGTATATGCATTCCATACAGATATTCCTATATATATAATTTTCACATTGTTGTCAATAAATAGTTATTTACTGCTTTCATGTTACTTGACATTAAGAACTATTATGTGAATTTACTTTGTGCCCGATAAACTCCAAATTACACCACAAACTTCCATAAATTACACATAATAGAAAAGCAATTTCTACAAATTTATAAACCTCAAGTAAATAATATTTCTCAAAATAACAAAAAAATGATACAACTCCTAATTACACCACAAACTTCCATTAATCACATGCACATTAAAAAAGTAACATCTACAAATTTATGAATCTCAAGTAAATAAAATTTCTCGAAATAAAGAAATGGAACTCTGCTCCATTTATCCAATGGAATTTAAAAGCACAATCAATACTCCTTGCTCCTTAACAATAACATGCGCCTCTGGATTAAAAATAAATAATTTGATACTAAGCTCCGAAAGAGTAAAGTATCAATGAAATACATCGAGAAATTTATCATGACATTCAATCCGGGGTGTCTTGGAGCAATTAGAGGTCTTGGAGGTGGACTCCGCCTTTTGCTATTTTTAAATCTAGAAACCATTAGCCACATAAGAATAAAAAATTGGTAATACTATTTATATAAGTGTTAATGTATCGAGAAACTCATCTGGAGATAAAAATATGGATGAAATAAAATATGAACTATGGCAAATGTAATCACGAAGCTCCCAACTTGAAATATTAGTAGTAAAAGAAAATTGGATATTTATTTAACATCAAATAAACTATTTATTATGGAGAATGTGCTATATATATAGTTTACATGACCCAAAAAATAAGGAAAAATAAAGTTCTATCATATATATTTCAACGTTTTCTTTGTTTAGTATATTAATTTATAACATACCAATCATTAAATATCACACACTGTTAAAATTTTACAAAATAGATTTTCAAGTAATTTATAGTTGCAATCTCTTATTAAGAAAATGAGTTAATAATGTAAATGAATTTGTAAGTCAAGTGTTTTTAATCCCATCATTCCTACATTGGGATTTTAGGATACATCAAAAAGGCATTTGACATATATCTACATTGCACACATTCAACCAAGTATATGCATTCCATACAGATATTCCTATATATATAATTTTCACATTGTTGTCAATAAATAGTTATTTACTGCTTTCATGTTACTTGACATTAAGAACTATTATGTGAATTTACTTTGTGCCTGATAAACTCCAAATTACACCACAACCTTTCATAAATTACACATAATAGAAAAGCAATTTCTACAAATTTATAAACCTCAAGTAAATAATATTTCTCAAAATAACAAAAAAATGATATAACTCCTAATTACACCACAAACTTCCATTAATCACATGCACATTAAAAAAAATAACATCTACAAATTTATGAACCTCAAGTAAATAAAATTTCTCGAAATAAAGAAATGAAACTCCGCTCCATTTATCCAAAGGAAGTTAAAAGCACAATCAATACTCATTGCTCCTTAACAATAACATGCGCCTCTGGATTAAAAATAAATAATTTAATACTAAGCTCCGAAAGAGTAAAGTATCAATGAAATACATCGAGAAATTTATCATGACATTTAATCCGGGGTGTCTTGGAGCAATTAGAGGTCTTGGAGGTGGACTCCGCCTTTTGTTATTTTTAAATCTAGAAACCATTAGCCACATAAGAATAAAAAATTGGTAATACTATTTATATAAGTGTTAATGTATCGAGAAACTCGTCTGGAGATAAAATATGGATGAAAATAAAATATGAACTATGGAAAATGTAATCACGAAGCTCCCAACTTGAAATATTAGTAGTAAAAGAAAATTGGATATTTATTTAACGTCAAATAAACTAACGTAATTGGATGCTAATGGTCACTCATTTAAAAAAAAATTATATAACTTACAAAAACCATTGAAAATTGGATAATGAACATCGATCTCTCCTTCTCTCCCTCAACCTTCACGAGTGCATCTTAATAGAAAATCATGTAGTTACCTTTTTACTATCTACATGTTTTTACGTAATCATCTAACACTATTTTTGAAAGCTATAAGTAAATTATAATAATAGTATAAACTATGATTACCTTTTTACTAACCTGTGATGATTGTCTTTTCTTCCCTTCCTCAACCTTTTTCTCCAAGTTCTATTTTCTATTTGATGTCGGATATGTTTGACTGAGGAAATTAGGTCAATTTATAGGAATCACATGACCTTTAAATTCTAAACTAAAATTTTCATTTGTAATCATGCATCATTGATAGGTGTAAATGAGTGTAACGGTAGTGGAAATAATTTTCAAAATAATAAATGTATGTCCTCAATTTTTTATAAGTGAAGAACGAAAAGGCTAGAGACAATTTGTACCTTTATCCTAATGGTGACATTAATATTGGATTAGTGGAGGGGTTACAAAAATTAGAAGTTAATATTAGTGGACAATTAATAGGAGAGTTATGATATTATTAGAATGTATGCATATATATGTATGTGTTTATATGTATGTATGCATGTGTTTTATGTATGTATGTATGCGGTTTGGAGGGTATTTTTGAAAGAAATGTTTTAACATGCCAATCCACTTTTATAATAGTATTAGATTAGATTTTTAAATGATGACGTGATGGAATGTACCAAAGTCAGTGTTGGAACTCTAGGGTATTTGATTCATAAAAGAAACTTATGATATCAAAGCTAATTAACCCTTATTTTTCTAACATTAAATGGATTTTATTTGGGGTTTTTGACAGTGTTGTGGATGCAATGTGTTCCATAAGCTAGTGGACAATCTGAATCTATTCCATGAGATGAAGTGCTATGTGAGCCCAAGTTTCCCGTACAAAGGGAACTTGCGCTTCAATTTTCTCGATGGGGATGATGATGATAATGATGAGAACATATTCCCCATTTTGTAAAGGAGAGAGGAGAAAGAATTGGTTAGTTGATCCATCCATTTAGTCTCTGTATATGGTAGTAGTAAAAATTAGCAGGGTTTTCCTTGACATTTGAAAATTTACATGTTAATATTTGTAAATATTATCTTGTGCTGTTTAGGGTCGCATGTGTCTGATATCTAATACTATGTAATAAAGTGACATGTCATTTATGTACCTGTTTAGCCACTTGACTTACTTGCATCATCGCGTCCTTAATAGGTCATCATCATGTTGTAAATCTCGTCTTCTCCCTTTTTTTTCCTTTTTCTTTTTTGGAAGAAACTAATGTGCTTCATGTGTCTGTGTGAAAGTTGAAACATGATAAGTTTATTTCAATATGGTCAAAATAATTAGCCCGTGGGAGTTTAGAGTGCAGAGTTTCCCATGACTGAAAACCTTGTGTGCTGCCGATTATAGTTTGCTAGGGGCCTTATGAATCTATGAAGCTTGAAATCTTGACTAAATAATGGCGTTGAACTCATAAGTTTCTGTGTTGTTTTTTTATTAGAGAAAAGTTTCTGCATGTAGGAGATTGATTTCTTCCTAGAAAAATTCCTCAAGCACCCAAAATATGGGACCAATAGGAGGGATAAGTGAGGTGTCCCTCTCCTATTGGATAATGAGTTGGCCATCATTAATGACGGTCAACTCATTATCCAATAGAAGGTGGACACCTCACTTGTCCCTCTTATTGGTCCCGTGTGCAGATTTATCTGTGTTTGGATTCCTTTCAATTTTGTTTTTCTATTTTAACCGTTTGGAGTTTAATGTAGGGTTAATTGCGGACAGACCCCTTCTAATATCACCCGATTGTGAATAGACTTCTTGTAATTCTATTTGTTGTGATTATGCCCCTATAGTATTGGCCCAAGTGTGAATCACCCTCTTAGTGAACTTTTTCTGATTATTAGGATTAGCAGTTGAAGGTCTATCCTCACCAATAGATCTAGAGGGGGTCTATCCTCCTCGTCAAATGTCTTTAAAGATTTTAAGAGTAAAAAAAGAATTTCGTGCAGGGTGTGTATATGCAACAAACTAAACTACATGGGGTCTATTCGCAATTGTGTGATACTACGGGGGGTATGTTCACAATTAACCCTTTAAATGTATTTCTTTTTCTTCGATATCCATTGTTGCCGAATCTCTTGAAGTGTTTCCACGAGATCAGGGTATACTGTTATTTTGGGGTCTATCCTCCTCGTCAAATGTCTTTAAAGATTTTAAGAGTAAAAAAAGAATTTCGTGCAGGGTGTGTATATGCAACAAACTAAACTACATGGGGTCTATTCGCAATTGTGTGATACTACGGGGGGTATGTTCACAATTAACCCTTTAAATGTATTTCTTTTTCTTCGATATCCATTGTTGCCGAATCTCTTGAAGTGTTTCCACGAGATCAGGGTATACTGTTATTTT